AATTTCACATACAAATTAAAATAAATAAATAAATAAATAATTGCTCATCGAGAGATTTGTTCGCTCCAAATGTAATTTTGTAATAATTTCAATGCTCTAAAGTCAATTAATATTATTTAAATGTTACTTTTTTATTTATATATTAATGATAGACAACACCAAGGATGAATAGAAGCCACGAAAGAACCAAATTTTGAAGGGCATTTTGGTCCCATGCATATGATTTAAGGGTCAAATAACGATTGAGTGATTGAAAATGAAATACTAAAAGTTGAAGGGAGGTTTGTGTTTGGTTGTTATTAATTCTATAAGAGGTTTGTATAGGTTTAAAAGATAAAAGTGAGGTATTTGTAATAAAAGATAAAATAGAAGGAAGGTCGGTGTATTTTACCTTTTTTTATAATGAAAAATATTGAGATTCTATAATTGATGAAATTTTCTAGACATTTCCCACTCATTGACGTAGCCCTAGAAAAAGGAATTCCATCTTAGCTTCCTATAATCATGATTGAACTCAAGTCAACTTGAATATCTTTAGAGTAGAGCATGGGACACAATAATTCCCGTCTTACTTGAAAAATACCTTAGTAATTTATTATTCATTTTATTCTTTCAGTTCTCTTTCTCTTAATTTTTAATTTCTTTTTTCTACCTTTTTGTAGAAAAATTGTAGAATGAGAAATAAAGTAAGAAGTATCTTGAAAAAAACAAAAACGACACAATATTGGGGATTTTGTTTTTGGCCAACTAATATATACAGTAGATTCTACTTAGTACGGGTGTTTATAAAATAATTTCAAAATTTTCAAAGATTTACTAATTTTTAATTTCTTTTATGATCAGAGGAACATCTGAGAAATTTTTAATTTTACTTTATCAAATATACATGTTTTAATAATATATTAACACACACCAATATTAAAATAGGGTTTTTTAGAAAAAATCCATATGTCTTACAAATAAAATAAACAATTTCCCTCTGTGTAGAATGATATATTAGAAACTGAATATTAGCTAAATTATTTTTTCCAAGTTCAAATATTTAAAATATGATTTTATAAACAGGGCAAAATAAGTGTTATTTTTTGACACACGTACATACATATTTTGGATACTTACGATAGGAAAATGTTTATTTTGATTTAGGCAGTACATCATAGCATAATTGTGTAAATTTCACCTTGATTTCGGTTATTTAGTACCTTGTGGAAATATATTCTTGTACGAATAATTTTGGTTTGAGAATCAATTTATTAAAGTCACTTTCTGACCCATAGAAGAAGGAAATTTGATAACAAGAAATCAATGTTATTGCCTGGGAAAGTATGGGCTCATTTATTTCGAATTAAAACTTCCCGTTCATAATATTGATAAATGTTATTTCACCTACTACAATCAACTATAATTGAATTAAAAAATTATATTTGGATTTATTTCTGCACTAAATATAATTTTCTTTATCATGTATACATGTATCCTCGTAGTCAGCCAAGGATGGACCCATGTGTGTAAGGTAGTGAGGCAATTTTTTCCACAAGTCAAGGAGAAAATTACATGTAGTGACCATAAATATTTCATTTGCCTCCATTAAAAAATTTTGATTACCCCCACCCACTAAGAAAAGAAATGAAAATTCATGTGACCCCATAAAAATTTAACTTATTCCCTAAAAATTTATTTGACCAAAATCTTATATGTGTTATCAAGAGTTTTAGAAAGAAGGAAGAAATAATTTAAAAAAATATTTTAAAAAATTTTTAAATTGAAAATTCTATGACAAAATTTCTATACTATACAAAAGAAGTAAAGTAAGTTTTATGAAGTAAAATGAAATGTAAGATACTAATAGATATAAATTTAATGTTTTATGAATAATTATTTAGTAGTATTTAATTTTAATAAAGTTTATATTTAATATAATTTAATAAATATTCAAAATTAATTTAATAAAAATATTAATATTTCTACTAACTACACATATTGCTCCCACTAATTAATATTTTTGGGTTCACCACTGCGGTCAAGTACGAAATATGAGTTCTTCTTGTTAGACTCAACATCATGTGTCATTAAACATAATTTATATGGCTAGAAAGTATGTGCCCATTTAGTAAATCAAGTCATTTCCTTGACAGCAAGCTGAAGGTTCTATCTTTTGACTAGCGGCACAATGATACAAGTTTGTTTTTTGGACAAGCTGCACGATTAGTCAACAACAATATTTGTATATTTCTGTCAATTCATTTTGAAGATTAAGGTTGCGTAGACAAAATGGCAAAATTCTATATTTCACAGTTTATAATTAATAGAGTAAAGTATTATATATGATTTAAATTTTCTTATGAATTATTGATCAAATTAATTTTATATAACTTTATTATTTAAAATTTTTATATGAAATATTTTTTAGGTCATAGTATCCCAGATCTTTGACCTTGACGAATTTGGATTAATGAGCACCTCTTTGGGAAGTATGCTTACCACTAAGAATTTAATTGGCTCTAGATATTTAGGCCTGGAACTTGAGACCTCTGGTTAAGGTAAAACAACCCCTTGCCAGTTTATTTAAGCATCTAGTGGTGTTTTTATATGAATTATTGAAATAACCCTTTTTAACTTTGATAATCCATCAATGTTTTAAGTCACAAAAATCCCATGTTATATTCTTTTGGTAAAAATAATGGATAAATTAAAGGGAAAATGATAAATAAAACTCAGTTAAATAAATAAAACGATAAAATAGAAGGATAAAATAGAGTAGTTGTTTTAAAATCCATAAAAACTTATATTAATTGTTTTGGGCAAACATTTATAAAATGACCATGATGCCTTCAAAAATAAATAAATGATGACTTCATAGTAACAAATGACTACTTTCCAATATATTAATATAAGGGCAAATTTAATAATGTAATCAACGTTTTAATGTATATTTTTTAAATTTATGTTATTAAACAGAGGGAATGGTTGAAACTTCACTCTCCAATCCACTAATATATGCTGCCAAAACTTTCCCCAACTTTTTAATCTAAAAATCAATCGCTTTATTAGGCATAGTAATCCGTAAGAAAAATAAAAAAATAATGAAAAATAAATCTAAAACTATCAGAAAAACAATTTTATGGAAATTTTAAGTGTTTTTATGTTTTTAATTATTCGAGGACACCTTGTATTTGTCAGAAATTTAGTAGCCTATGGGTGTGGATATTTTTTGTTTTGGAATCCTCATTTAAAATATAATTTTTATAATTGGAGTCAAATTAGTATCATTTCACGTAAAAATCAACCCAAATTAAAATAAGAATCAATATGTGTATTTTTTATTATATTAAGCCTTTACAAACAAAACTATAGCTTCTGGCCAACCAAAAAAAAAAACAAAACAAAATAAAACTATAGCTTGTATAGAATATATAGATATGAAGATTTCTAAGTATACTCTCTCCATCTATACATAAAAGATTTTTTTTTAATCAAATCGCACTTACTAATAAAAGTTTGTTATTTGGTTAAGAGCTACATGTGAAGTTAATCAAATCGCACTTTCTAAGCATAAATGGTAAGAGCTCTCATCTAGAGTTAATTATAAATATAGAAATTTAGTTGGGAGAGATCTACATGTGAAGCTTACTTGTGCTTTAAAATAATAATGATGATTATTGATGAATAATAAATAACCATTATTGTGAAATTTTGTGTATCTAGTTGTTGCCACGTCTTTTCACAATTTATTGACATAGTAGAAGAGACAAAGGATTTATGAATGGGCATTCTTATATTTATTTTTTATCGTCTCTATAATTTTTGGCTTTTGCTAATGAAATTAAATATTTTCCCACAAAAGAAAAACATACACGGGGGCAATTAGGTAATTCTAATCCATGTATGTGGAGCCAGTAAATGCAATAAGCTGTTTTGCAGATAGGACATCTCGTGCCAACGTCCTTCATATGCACTTGGGACATGGCCTTCACTAGAGACACATTACATGACAATAAATCTATCCAATAAATTCTTGGTAGAGATGAAATGAAACAAGTCCTTTCTTTTCTTTTTTGCCAACGAAACTAGTGCTTTCTTTCTTGACCCTGTCAAAAGAAAATTAACGTGTAAAGAATTACAATTTATGTGTGTTTTAATTTCTTGTTTGGAGTAAAGAAATTTCTTGGAGATGAGAATAAGAAATGACGTTGTGTGTGTTTGGTTGGCAGCAATTTGATAAAGTTAACTTAATTAGTTTATTATTTCACCAAAATAATTAGATTTTTAATAGATAATGCATATATAGATATATTATTTTGTCATTTTTCTTTATTATATCAAAATATATTGAGGTTCTATAATTGATGAAATTTCCTAGACATTTTCCATATCATTGATGTAGCCCTAGAAAAGAAATTTCCTCTTATTTTTCTATACCAACGCTTTAAATCAAGTCAACTTGAATATCTTTAGCGTTGAGAAAGGGCCAGAATAATTCCAATCTTACATAAAAATATTTCTGTAATTTATTATTCATTTTATTCTTTATGTTCTCTCCCTTAATTTCTGATTCCTTTTATTCCGTTTTTTAGAAAATTTATAGAAAGAGAAATATAGGTGAATTTTATAATAAAATTTCCCATTTAATCCTGCAATTGAATATAAAAAGAAAAATTTAGAACACTTGTTTTAATCAGAAAATTTTATTGGCTCCCTTTTTTTGGCTCTAATTGTATGGACCTACTTTCATTTCATGAATAGGATCTCTCTTAGTATTCCACTTTTAATTGCACTCTCTACTAAAAAAGATTACATTTAATTATTGGACTGAATTTGAATAGTCCACTTCTTTTCCAGCCATAAATATGAATACTTTTATTAGATTCACAATTTATTCCACTTTTATTATTATTGAAGTTATTATTGAAGACCAGTACTAGCTTATCAATATATATATATATATAGCATGACCTTCTTGACTATCCACTTCAATGTTAGAGGCCTTGAACCAATTCATGATGGCGAACCTTTGGTTTCATTTTTCCTTCTCCATGTTCTCATTGCTTTGCTATCTCATGGTCTGTCCAACTTTATGTCACACCAATTTCGCCAAAAACGATGAATTGGCACTTCTTGCTCTCAAAATTTCTGTGAGAGACCCATTCAACCACTTGTCTAATTGGTCAAACTCTTCCTCCATTTGCAATTGGGTTGGGGTTACTTGTGATTCTAAAGGTGAGAGAGTAAGTGTATTGAATCTTGCTCACATGAGTCTCATGGGCACCTTGCCGCCACAAGTGGGGAATTTGTCCTCCCTTGTTGAACTTGACCTTCATAATAACAACCTTCATGGTGAGTTACCGAAGGAGCTGCTGCAGTTACACAAGTTGAAAATTCTCAACCTTAGCTATAATGAATTTGATGGGAAAATTCCAGCTTGGATTGGAAGTTTATTCGCTCTTCAACACCTGATCTTTCAAAATAATAGTTTTCAGGTTGTTATTCCTCCAAATGTATTGAATTTGTCGAAGTTAGAGACATTGGATTGGAATAACAATTTCATCCATGGATCTATTCCACTTGAGATTGGAAGGCTTCAACATTTAAATATTTTATGTATAGCAGGGAACAATCTTTCAGGAAATATACCTCCAACTATTTCTGGCTTATCCTCACTTGAGCTGATGTCTTTGTCATTCAACTCTTTAAAAGGTATGCCTTTCATAATATCAGATAAATTTATACTTGCTCCAAGTCATCTCAAACAATTTTGTGTTGGTGTTAGTGCATCTTAGGATAAGCTATTAATTACAATCTCGTTCAACCTTCGTTTGCCCAATTTTGTTCATTATTCAAAAAGAATACACAAACACACATATACATACATACATACATACATACATATATATATATATAAAGCAAATAGATATATCATAGGAGTGAAGGGAAGCTCCACTAAAGAATAATGATAATGTTTGGATTGATGGATTTGAATTTAAATTTAGATTTAAAATCTTGTATTTCAAATCTCTCATTTAAAATTCATGTAATTAAAATCCTTAGTTTGGGTAGTTTAAAAAAAATCAAATGAGAGATTAAAAAAAAAAGATATGAGAGTCATTGAGACAGACATCAATAGTGAAAACACAAAAAGAACAATATGTTTGAAGTGGTTGAAATTTCAAATGACTAGAATGTAGAGGAAATTTGAAATTGCAAAGGAAATATAAAAAACATAGATTTGGATCCACAAATTTTTGTATGTCTAAATAAGGAATTTGATCCAAATCTAAATTCTTGTTAATCCAAACACAACATAAAATAAGAGTTCTATAAAAAATCAATGGAAACGGAGAAACATGTATTGAGTGTAAATTTTTAGGTGAATTCTGTGTTTTTTCTTATTGACTATAAACATCATTGTAATTTTAACTGAGATGCATAAACAGGTGTAAGGCACAGAATTACCAGCTTCTGATTGGATGGCGACTAATGTTTAAGATGAACCACCTTTGGATCTTATAATTAACTAATGTATAAAAAGTTGTAGGTTTGTGAGCTGTATAGATTGATTAGTGTGTGGCAGTAAATCAAACATGACGCATAGGTATAAATTAACTAAAATTAAATATTAATTATGGGTTTCCAAGCTTGTGTTTTTCGGTTCCCTGAGTTAAAATTTACTATCTATCCCCCAATAGTCCTTATCATTCTGACCATGTCCAATTGACAACTCTTCGCACGCAAGAATTTTATGGATAGGGTGGAAAAAAACATTTTCAAAAGTAACCACATTTTTAGGCTATGTTCATATAAACTAGTGCAGCAATTAAAATCAAAGAAGGGTGGGAGATTTTTTTTTTTTAATATATAGATGTATACATCAACTATGGTATTTGAATTTTCATTTTTAATTTTTATTATCAATATTTTAAAAAATTTAGTTTATGATTTGAGAGAAATGTTGTTGGATATCTGATGATGTATAATAATGTAAAAATTAAAAATGCAACATATAAAAATATAATACATTAACTTTACAAAAGTACTTCAATATAAAAAACTATGTAAAGAATTTGATCATATATTAAGCATGATTGCCTTCAATGGGAAAATATTCGTGAGTAATAAAAAAACTATGTGAAGAATATAAAAACAATTAACATTTTATCCGTATTTTTTACAATATTATATATATATAATACACTGTTTTCACCCATTTTTTGTGTTATAGTTATTGTTAAAAATTCTAAATTTGTTCATATATGTTTTGTAAGTTTTGATATCTATTGTTAAAAACTTTTCATATTATTTATGATTTATTTTTAGAGTAAAATACATTAAGCTGCACAGCTTTGGCTTTTTGGTTAGTGTACTGTATTATATATATCCAACCAAAAAGTTGGAGGTTCGTACTAGCATCAAAGAGAAGAATAAAATATATTCATTTTTCTTTAATTTTCTTAATATTAATGAAGCCAGCCTATACTTTTCAAAATATACACTTTAGTTTCATTTTTTTTTTACTCTGTTGAAAGTAATTTATCAAAGATTGTCAAAGGTGAATCATGGCAATTTAAACTTACTAGCATACCCTTCATCCAAACCATTAATTCCATTCCTAACCATAACAGTCTCCCTTGCCGTTGCACGAAACAACGCATGCAACGCACGACATAATGATGCGCTTTTTTTTTTTATTTTATCCAATCATTTGGGCACCATAATAAATATTATAGCTCCAGCACACCAAAAAAAAGTACACTTCCAAAATTTATCTATTTATGGTAATGAAATTTTTGGTCCAATAATATTTGGTTACAAATTAATTAAAAAAGAGCTCAAATTAGCGGCTACACATAAAATAATTTGTTTGGTTTAAGAGCTTTATCATTGTCCTATTTTTTAAATACAAAGTCAGTAATGATAATATTTTGATCAAAATAACCCTAAAAGAATGCATTCATAAGATTATTATTGTTACTCAGTTTTCTTTTTTATCATAATCATTTTGTACATGAGAACTCATAATAATGTGGTTTTCTCATTATCATATTGCAGGAGATATTCCCAAAACAATTGGTGCTCTCACAAACATGAAAGTTATATACCTAGAGATTAACAAGTTGTCTGGGCAAATGCCAAGAAGTATTGGAAACTTGACTATGCTTCAGGAATTATATCTCAATGACAATAACTTAGAAGGTAAGCTTTCAACCAATCGTAATGTCTAGCTTTTCATCAATTTTGTGTTATTTTTGTGTGTTGTTATTGATCACGCCGTCCATCCGTCAACTATATTTGTCTAATATTTTTTCGAAATATTACTCTATTTACCTCTATTTTTCTGTTAAAAACAGAGATGAGCATATAATATTGTTATTGATTTTGCAAAGATTTGCAATTTCAATTCCATGTACAATATGGGTATTCAAATTATCAAAATTAGCACAATTTATTTAAATTAACTTCCCCTGAGAAAGTTAATGTTTGATAATCCCTAAACTACTGTTACTTTTCAAGGAAATATACTAAGATGCATTGGAAATTTGATTTTGCTTTTAAAATTTGATCTCGGTCTCAATAATTTACAAGGTATACTATTTGTAAATTGTAATTTGGTATCATCAATTTTTTGTTTCCTTTTTGTTGTTGTTTTGTCTTTTGAGACTTAATAATTATCAACTTAAATGCTAATAGCTTTCTAGTCAAAATACCATTAATTACGTGTAATATTAGAGTTGAAACATATTCATTTGAGTGATAATGTTAATATGGAGTACATCAATATTAAAATATAAAGTCTCCACATCCGTTGTTTCTCTCAAATTGTAAATAAGAAGTAAAAAATTGAAAAAAATATAAAACTTGAAACCCTATAGTTTTACCAAATTCTAAGAATCAGTCTAGAGCAAATAATGAATTATGATTCTATTTATCTCTATTTTAAGAGCTAAAAACAGAGGTAAATATATACGGCTATACACAGTGCCAAATTTTATTTATTTATATTTAAGGTGTTGGGCAAAGGTGCAAGAAAGAGAAAGAGACTTGGAAATTTCATTATTGATTTTTTTTTCTTAATAATGGTTAATAGTTCACCACGTCATCTATCATATAAGAATTCATTTGCAATATTATCACTTGCCTGGTATTTCATAGGTTCTATCAGCAAGGCCGTGTGTAACACTAGTCCATTAAGGATGTCATCTTATGCCTAAAAAATGTTCACTTATATCCTATATAATCAGTCATTCTTTTTCTTATTAAGCATTAATGTTAATTATATATCTTCATTAAGAGTTTATTACTTACTTTTATCTTGGATAACCAATAATTAATTTTTTACTAAGCATTAATGTTAATCATATCTCTTCTTTAAAAATATATGGTCGCATATACTCTGCCACAACCACTTTGTCATTTCATCTCTTCTTTTCTCTCACCCAAATCATTTCTTGCTCTACCATTATTTTCTTATTAAAAAAAATAGCTCTTGCTTAGTCGTTTCCATGGCGTGGCTTGATTGATAACTTGATTTCTCATTTGTCATTATGAAATCAACAAATCCTTTTATTTGTTCATAGGAGTTTTGCACTTCTAATAAAAGAATAAAGAAATCCAATCGTAGATGGCCATATATATTAGGTGTGTTTTTTCCTCTTTTACCCTTTATTTGTGATTGTTTTAATTTTTATAGAATTTGAAGTGGCAAAATAACAATACATTCGACCTCTAAAATAATTTCACCTCAATCTCTAAAACTCCTTCAGATGTCCCTGTCTTTGAGTGTTTCGTTTTGAAGGTTGTAGAGGACTGAACCAAGAGCCAATTCCTAATGTAATAGGTGGAATTGGATGGCCCAATCTGTTTAGAAAACCATGACTTTTCTTGTGGTTATGTCGTCATTAGTGGCTATTGGTGCCAAATATGTCCAAATTAGAGTCCTTGGACTGGAATTTTAGTTCTATCCATGGATCTATTCCACTAGAGATTGGAAGGCTTCAATGTTTAAAGATTTTATGTTTAGCAAGGAATGACATTTCAGGAAAAATACCTCTAGCTATTCCTAGCTTATCCTCACTTGAATTGATGTCATGCAACTGCTTAATAGGCATGTCTTTAATAATATCAGATAAATTCATATATTTCTATAAATCATTTCAAAAAATTTAATATGTGTTAGAATGTCTTAGAATAAACTATTTACAATATCATATTCAACATTGATTTTCTTGGAGAGGGGAATGGGATATATATATATATATATTGATTATGTTGAGTAGAGGCAATAAATGAATCCACAAATTATATATAATTTTAATTTGTTGTGATATTGGTAACTCCTTTACCATGCTTTCAACACAACATAGTGTATTAACATCATTTAGTATTCTTTGCACTGTCAGGAACAAATATTTTGCATGCTTTTGTTAGTTTTTGTCCCTTTCATTTTGCTTCTTGGAGCCATAGTGCAAGAGATACTTTTTTAATGGTTTTTAAATTTATATGATTTTTTATACGACATATGTTGTCCATGATCATCTCCATAAAGTTATATTGTATTTGTATTTCTATGATTTTCTATAATATATACAAAAGCACTCATATCAGTGTTTTTATTTGTTATTGCAATAATGCAGGAGATATTCCAAATGAAATTGCCAATCTTACTAATCGTAAAATTATGCACTTGGCTCAAAATCAACTCATTGGCTACATACCTAGAAGCATTGGAAGTTTGGTTTTGCTTCAGGAATTAGGTCTTGGTTCCAATAATTTACAAGGTATAATTTTTATGCAAATTATAATTCACTGTAGATTATTTTTTTGTTCTTACTTCGTTTCTCTTGCAACTTGAAATTATGAACTTAGATGCTAATAGGTTTCATCAAAATTCTATTAATTATATCTCCCAAAATGTATAAGTCTAGAATAAACATTTTTTTTCACAAAACAAAAATTGGATTATATTTTTATACATGATTTGCAATATTTTATAATGTCATTGAGAACTCAACATGTTATAAAGATTTCAAATATAAAAGGGGATAATTTCTGTTAGGTCTCTTGCAAGGAAACTTCCATTAAATTTCAAAGGACTTTTTTTTCTCCAACTGCTAATACATTCCTAAGGCAAATAAGCTAGTACAGTACAACTGAAACCGCAAACGACAACAAATCAACAAAACAAGGAAAGCAAGAAGGCAAAAACAGAATCAGCAACAAAATAAGAGGGATCAGCCAAATAATTTTAAGCAGTAGATGAGACAAAGGAAGTGATAATGAGGACACCCATCCTATTAGAACCAGCAACAATATGCTTGATTTTTAATTTCAAAGGACTTTAATGATATTAAAATTCAAGCATATTTACTAAATCCAATTTTAATAAAGGAAGGGTATTTTGTTAAAAAAGATAAGTATTTTTGTAAGTTTTAATTTTTAATTTTATAAAACTTTTTGGGATTTAAATGAAAATTTTATAATTTAAATTTAATTTAAAAATCAAATACAAATAATTTTAACTAAATATTGGTCCGTGTCTCTTTTTTAACTTTCCCACCCTAATATCTCTTCAAATACATACAAAAATGATACTGTACATTAGGTAATAGAAGCATAAGCCCATCACCAAGTCTATCATTCATAGATGTAACTTTTAGACCTATATATCAACACTTGTAGTATTGTACTTTTTATTTTGTTATATTGATACACACATATAATTATATAAAAAATTAATTGATAACTTTTGAAATTTTGTTGATATTTTTTCGTCACAATTGCAGTCTTACCTTTTTCTAAAAAAGGTTCTACTTACTATAACCCCCATAAATCTCAATAATAAAATATATTTAGATTAAATATTTTAAAGTATATCATATTTTATAATTAAATTTTTGGTTAAATATTTAGATTAAATATTTTAAAGTATATCATAGTTTTATATATCCAAACTATTTACTCTTTTTTGTTGTTTTCACTTAGTTAATTATAAGAATTTTAAGAGATAAATGGATAATTTGTTTCAGCTTATTTTATGAAAAAATTACTTTTTTAAAAAAATATTTTATGATTTTATCAAAGTTCGTTTAAATTTTTGAAAATAGTAAGAATAGAAAAGTAAATTTTTTATTATTTTAAGAAACTAATTTGAGAGAGAATGTTTTAAAAATGTGAGATACAAGAAGGTATGCTAAGATTTTAAAATAACTAAATAATAAATTATTTCTATAAAACAAAAACAAAGAAAGATATTATAAAATTTAAAAATAAAAAACTAATAATTACTTTTTTATTATTGTAACCAAGTATAAAATAATATCTTCTTTTTATAAAATTTCTACAAAATAATTCTTTTATAAAATCCATAAATCATAAAACTTATAAATATGTTGTTAGTGGGTAATCTATAAGTAATTTTTGAGCTTGGAGGCCTGTACTAGCCTGGGTGAGCCACTAGACCCAATTCACCTAAACTTTCTGAAAGAAAATATAAAACTTATAAATAAAAATATATAAAAATAAAACATATTAACAACATATTAACATGGAAAAATGATAATAAAATCCCCTTGAAATATAAACAGACAACCATGTCCCTCAAAAATGCCATAATTCCTTTAGAATCCCTGGGTACCTTTTTGAAATTAATGATTTCTGTTTAGCAAAGAAAAATTTGTAAACTTTATATGATATAAATTTTGGCAGTGATGAAATCTATTTAGCTATTTAAAAAATAAAAGAAAAAAATTTTACTCTTTATGGGTAAGTATGTTGCATATATCCAACACATTTTTTCCGTGTTATTGATTTTTTTTTTGAAGATTTGCCTTTCCAACTTCATGCCCTCCTCTGCGGGTATTCAAATTAATAAAGTTAGCTCGTTTTGTGCATTGATGAGAACAACTTTGCAAAAGTTTGCTTGTTCAAATTAATTTCCCCTGAGAAAGTTAATGTTCGGTAATTTTGTAACTGTTATTTTTCAGTGACATATTGATGATAATAATTTTTTTAATTTGGTAAAGATAAAATAATCCAATGTTCTTTGTAATCCTCTTTTAGCTAGCCAGACAATTTGTCACTTTAGATGATTTGTCGCAATCATATGTTCTAATCAATCACTTGTTACCTCCTTTCATCAATCCCGCGTGTTGTTCTTGATTTTCAAGTTGAGCGACTCGCACATTTGAAGAATCTTGACCTTCTTCCCAGTTATTCTGCTACTATTGGTAAGGGTTAAGGGAAAGAGAGAGTTTTTTTTTTCTTTTTTTTTTTAAATCTGAATCATTGTTGACATTGAGAATCTAAGTGACATGTGGCTGCCAAGGATATATTTTTAGTCAAAAAAATTATTTAATGAGCAAGTTAAGTGGGCATTTACATGGATGCTATGTCTACACATGCATGGGACTTAGTCACAAACTTATATTAACATCGGTATGTGACGGCAAGACACAGGTAGTTAAGTTTTTTTATAGTTTGAGAAAGGGAATGAATTAAAAATTGAGTTCATGATATCAGGTGTTCCTAAGTGAATACTTCAAAAACAAAAATGATCCTTAACTCTTTTTATTTTTTAATTATGAATTTCATATTCTAAAGTGACTCTCCCTTCTTTTCACAATGGAATAATTTTATGCCCTATAAAAAATAACTATTTTTTAATGATCTAGTCTTTTATTTTTTGTTTCCTGGCTGCATGTAACTTGTGATATTATATTAAGAGTGCAACATTGAATGCATATAGAACCAAAAAAGGAAAGAAACAAGAAAAAAGAAAAAAATTGCATGCAATTGGCACTGTAGGAGGGATCCACTTCCACGTGTCGCGGGTTATATTTTTAATTTGAAAATTTGGACAGTAATCATCAAATTATTAGTTTATGACTATTTCTCCCTGTTCATGTTTTTTTGTGAATAATAATTATAAACATCATACTTTCATAAGAACATTCCATGAAATATTTTATAAGAATTGAATGATTTGTGAAATTAAATAAAAAATTATAAACTTGAAAGATGATGCCTTACTGAGCATTGGCCTCAATCATCTTATAAAGTCATATTGTATCATTTTAACACATTGATTTAAATTAATTTTATTTATCACAAACTTGATTTTACAAAGACATCTTAATTAATTTTCTTTATTATAATTATTATTAGTAATTCTAAATTTTTTTATATATGTAAGTCTTTATGATCAAAGTGTTTTATGAATTTTGATATATATTGTTAGAAAATTTTCATATTATTTATGATTCACTTTTAGAGTGAAATATATTCATTTATATTTAATTTTATTAATATTACATAAGCCATTACATAATTTTCAGAAGTACACAATTAAATTTAATTTTTAACTCTTTTAAAAAATACTATATTAAATATTCTAAAATACTTTTTCATTTATTAAAAAGAGCATCTTCGCAATTTAAACTTACTTTTTTACTCTTGTTAAACACCATTAATTCCATTCCTAATCTATGTCACTCTCCCTCCTCCACCTTTGCACAGAACAATGCAAGTACGCAACAATGCACCTTTTTTATATTCATCTAAACATTTATGCACTATAATAAAGGAGTATAATTTCAAAATTTGTGTATTTATGCTAATGAATTGTTTTGTCCTATAATATTTTGTTGACAATTAACAATAGAGCTCGAATTAGGGGTTACATATGAAAAAATTTTGTTTGATTTAAGAGCTTCGTTATTTTTTCTGGACTCTAGTTTGTTTTGAATACAAATTCAAGAGTTAATATATCAAAATCACAATAACTTTAAAAAAATCTATTTCTTACATTTTCATTTCAATTAAACTCTTCTCTAACAAATTTATCAATCGCTCCTTGAAACGTTTCCAGAGAATTAATACTGTTTTAAATGTTATATCTTGGTGAGAACCTTTTCTAGCCAGTAACATCTCATGTTTGTGTAAATGTTTATTTAGTCTTAAGGTTATATAATTGCACTTTAATGATTTGGGATTGGTCAATACTATAGAAGAAATATAGAAGATATATTTTTTATTTTCATTGAAATTAAATTCTTCTCTAACAAATTCATCAAATTGCTCCTTGAAACCATTTTAGAGAATTAATATTGTTTTAAATGCTATATATTGAGGAACTTCTTTTCTAGCCAGTAATAACACATGTTTTTATAAATGTTTATTTAATCTTAATATTATCTAAAAGGTTTACATAGTATATAGAGACTTGTCAAAAGTAGATTTTTTTTTTGGGAAAGTTGGATTAAATGAATGATGTATAATATGTGGCTTTGCATAAAGTTTTACTGCACAAGCAATATATTTCAAATAGAGTTACTGCACATTTTCTATTAGATTATGCCACCACTTTGTGTTGTCATGATCAAACTATAGTATTTGGCTTTGGTTTCATTTGTGGCTTCCATTAATTTGTCAATCTAAATCTGTCTATAATTAATTGTTTTTGATACATTACCATATATTGCAAGAATTTCTAAATGTGAGGCAATGTTCAAAATGTGTCCGTATTTAATATTGAAGACACCAAGTGTTAATAAAACCATAATTGATTTTCTTGGTTCAATTGCACTCCACCATAATTTTTTCATTTATACATTGCACTGATCAATTTAGTTGTATAAATTAAATATAATAATAGGCATATCAACAAAGATGGATGCACTAACTAAGTATTTTTATATTAGAAAGACAAGTTAGTAAAATCTCCACTAAATCTGTTTTAGATAGTCATTTGGATGTCATATTTTACTAAAAAAAATCAACAGTATTCAATATGGTTACAAAGTTCAATATAAGTGAAATTTAACTAACACATTCCATCCTTTTTTTTTTTTTTATCATGGAGATAATCGTCCCCATATTCAGAATTTTTTCAGTAATAATTTTTCCAACAAAAGCCTTCCTTATGTCTGTCTTTTTTTGCTTCAAATCTAGTACCATCTCTTTTCCTTTTTTCTTTCCCCTGCTGCTCTATCCAACCTCCATGCCTCCTCACCCCAATCTCTACACAAGCACACTAGCACACAACATACCCACACAGAGATTCACTGGTCCCTCGAAGAAATTTAACAACATACAGAAAACACTTTTTTATTCTAAAAATAAATATCTCACATTCATTTAAGTTATTCTTGTCAATGGAGCGGCTATTTAGAGAAATCATCAACAAAACGACGATAATACCCTGCGAGGGCAAAAAGAAAAGGAAATAAAATAAAATAAAATAAAATCATGAATTTTTTTATGACTGTCATGGGTCGTAGCAAATTCTGTACTACTACCACTTTGCTGGTCCACTCGAATATTGTTCTTAAGAAACATGTCTCAAGAAAATAACTTTATCAAGCCAAAATTCACATTTTAGTTTTTTTTTTTTTTTGCATAAAGTCATTGCTCCTCAATGTTTGCAATACAAATCACAAGTTCTATCCATGCTTCTCTAGGCTCCTTGAATATATCAAAATATGATTAAGGAAAATAATCATAAACTTATTAAGGAATAATCTAAACTCCTGATTTATCAGATCCGTAAATTCTGCAGGTGTACTAGTTAACCGAAATGACATTATAAGAAATTTGTAATGACCACATCAAATTCTAAATGTAGTCTTTGGTATGTCCTCCTTCTTGATCCTTCGCTAAAGATAACCCAACCATAAATCTAATTTTGAAAAAAAAAACTGAAGTCCTTGTAACTAATTAAAGAAATCATCAATCTGCAGTAGCAGATACTATTTATTTATTTTTCACTACCACCTTGTTAAATTGTCGATAATCAATGCAAAGTCTTAGTAACTCATCCTTTTCCTTCACAAAGAACACTAGTGCTTCCTAAGGAGATGTGCTAGATCAGATAAATCCCTTATTCAGTAATTCGTGCAATTAAATCTTCAGTTCTCTTAGCTTAAAAGGTGTCATTTTATAAGGTGGAATAGAATTTAGTTGAATGTTTGGAACCAAGTCAATGGCAAATTCAATTTTTTTAATCAAGTGACAATCTAGGTAATTCTTTTGGAAAATATCAAGAAATTCTCGAACAATTGGGATTTAATCCAAATTAATGGTGGACTTATCCATGTCCTTTTTCCACAACTAAGAACCCTTGACAACCCTTCATCAATAATCGTTGGGTTTTCAAAGCCAAAATAAGGGTCTTTCTACAAAACTCCATTGTAATACAAAAGGAGTTTCTCCTATAACAACAACATTCGAAGCTCTAGTATCCTACCTCGTCATAGCATAAACTCTTAACCTTACACTAAAGAAGACTGTCCTCATTACATTTTTTTCCTTTCAGGTGTATCCTTGCCAATTGAAGTGGAAGTAACCCTAGCAAGTGAAAATGGAGATATAGGTCGGAAGGAGGTTGAATTAATCCATGACTAGACATTCACTGGATATAAGGAAAAATTCTTTCTCAAATGGCCCATCTACTTGCGCTCAAAGTGTGCACCAAACACTCTACGGGACGATCTCAAATGGTATTTCCCACAATTAGCACAAGGAATTCTAGCATAACCTAATTGATTTAGAATTGATTGAGTAGGGGCCTAACATTACTAGAATTAGATCTAAAAGCATGAGTGCTTGCTGATGGTAAACCATATGGTTTAACTCCAGGTTGTATGGTACAAATGTGAGATTGACTTAGAAATCGATAACTGTTAAAGGAAGAACTTGAAAATCTCTCATTGTTCTGTCTTTCTTCTCTCTTTTGCATTTCTTAGAAATTGCTTCTTCTACCTTATAATGATTTTCAATTCTTATAGCACTATTAGCAATTTCAGCATAAGTGACATTGTGACCCTACATAGGGCCATATTATCTCATATATATGTATATATCTACTAACAATCCATGAACAAGCTTGCTAATCCATTCCATTTCAATCGGTACCATGTGGGAGGCAAAAGAAGATAATTTTTCTAAATTTCTGATCGTACTCTACTATTAACATTCCCTAACTGCATTTTTAGAATAAAAAAATCTTCAACTTTTGCATCTTTAGTACTTTGAGATCGATATTCATTCAAAAATATAGTTTTGAACTCTTCCCATGTCAAAGGAACTCTCACAATGGAGAAGAATAACTCACAGCAGAGACAGAATAAAACATAATAATGACACTTTACAAACACTTTTTCAAAACAAAACTATACACTTTCACAAATATCTCTATGTATTTAATCGCTGCTATGATATCATTTCAATTCTCTCTTCATTTAAAGGGCAATATTAGAAAACTATTATTAATAAAACCTTATTTTTTTCAAATTGTTTTATATTTTGGGACACAAAATTCCTCCAAAGCTTTCTTATAAGTTGAGAAGGAGGGAGTATCCTTTAGTAAATTTCATAGAAAACAACATAGTTTTTTGTTTTTTAAAAGTAGTTATCTATCTCCATTTCCAACAGACATTTTTTGTTGGTTTTTATGTATTGTCAATATAACTACCTGTCTTTAATTTTTTTTTTAAGTGCTACTCATTTTTATTTTTACCGTACCTTACCATGCAATTGCAGGACTAAAATTTTTTTTTTTTTTTCCAAGTACCATGCGCATTGCAAGAAATTATGCATGAATGAGATAGATACATTTTTCAATTTCTTTCTAGAAAATTTTTTTTTACCCACCAATCATTACATTTATTTCCAAAAAAAAAATCAATTATGTGTAAGAATAATGCCTTGACTATCATTTGATTAACTGTTGCTGATGCAGATCAAAAAAAATGCCTCAAGAAAGTTTTTAAATGTTTGGAAAACCATTTTTTGAAGAAAAAAATGTAAGAATAATAGTGTGGTGAAGCTATGTCAAAAAAATTTCTCTCTTGTTTTAGTTAAATTCATTTCTAATTTTTTATTGCTTCAAACATAATGACAATCTTAGTTAACCTTAAAGATATATATATATATATATATATGAGTATATTTTTAACTTATGACATTAAAAACTTATATGCTGATTCAATTAACTCCACAAACTTAAATTGGGGTAGGGGTGGGGGAATCTATCTCATAGAGTTATATATTGTACCATCTTAACATGTTGCTTGTAGCTTTACAATTACAAGATCTATATTGCATCCACAAACTTAATATCTTAACTGTCGCTGTCAATGGCGAGAGAGGTGCCCAATAGAGCCTCGAACATGATAACCTCCAATACAATATAACTGTGGGTATCCCAAAAAAATAAAATATTAATTTTTAAATAAAATAAATAAAAGAAATATAAATTTTAGGAATGAATTACAGGAATTAAAAACAAAATAAGATTGCACAAAGTAAAAACTTAAACTCGTGCCAATGGCCTTGTAGCCGAGTGGTAAGTCAGCTTTTCTGCAAGCCAGAGGTGGCAGATTCAATCTAGCTTGTAACCTCAAGCTATTAGTGTCCAGCCTTGTAAGTTAGACATACTTAAAGTCATATTTTACTAATAATATATGAAAAAGAGAAGCCATGAACATGAAGGAATGGGCAGGCGATGCATACAACACCCCCCCCCCCACAGAGGCCAGAGAGAAAAGCTAATGAAGAGCCATCCTTTTCTGACAAATACAATTATAAATTTGCCTCCAAATTTTGTTTTCTAATCTCATGAATAACATTGACTTTCTGGTCAAAATACAATTAATTAATAGATTAGAGTTAAAAAGAACTTATTGAGTAACAATATTAAATTTGCTTTTATCTCACTTGTTCCATTTATAAATGGTAAATGAGTAATAAAAAATAGAAAATATAGAACTCCATTTACCAATTTATATTTTAATATAGCAATAAATACTATCATTACATATTAGTGTAGTGCATAAAACTTTGTTCCTATATAATCATTTTGTATGAGATTAATTCTTTAGTTCACATTCTGTCTATACAAATTTATTGAGAAGGTTCAGCACAAAAGTGCAGTGTTACAACCACACCTCTTTCCCCTTTTCACATCGTTTATTGGATATCATCGCAAACAATTTTGATAACTCTACTAGTTATTACATTACGAATTCATCTCTCTAGTTATTGTTAAATTTTACGACACTGGTGGTTGCATGTGATGTCTTCTCTCATGGAGCATCTAAGTTCATTTTTCTTCAAATTATGATGTTCTAATGAGCAACTTTTGATTTTCATTTTCACTTTCACCTTTTTTATTGTAAGTTTTGGTATTCATGAAAATTCTTTTTCCAATAATTATTTATGCATCAAATAAGTCTTTCGTCATTTTCAATCATAGTAATGCCCAATTGAGCACGTCTTCTCATTTGGGAATCGAATTTTGAGAATTTTTAGGATTTCTATTTTTTATTGTTGTAAGTGTCAATAAAATTTCGAATCATACACAATAAATATTCTCGAAGACTGTCAATTTATCAAAGCTAAATATTTTGTGTCAAACAAATATATTATATTGATTGATTTGCTAAAATTTATGATATTATTATAGATGATTGCTCTGGAATATTGTCCCCTCAACCTCAAATCTACTTGAGCCACATTTATTGCCATATAGGTAGAAATATTGTGTGAGAAACTCTAAAAGATAATCATCTTACAAATGTGAAAATTATATACTTAATTACATGTCTTTATTTTATCTTGCCTCAGCATCGAAGATATTATAAATGCATATTATGATATATTTATCTTATGAAACAAATATATCACAACATGTTATTGTCATATTGTTCAAACAATTTCAATGCATCACTTGAGACAAATTAAGTGGTACATAGACATGTTCATTTTAAAAAGAAAATTTAATCCGTTGCTCCTTGAGTCATTCTTAATTTTTTTTTTTCCTCCGGGCTACAGATCACCTTTTCTTGATGTGTCACCTGTGATTATTAATGAAAGTGGATTCAACGTTAATACCATATTAAAGGCTTATAAAATAAATTTATATATTGGCCAACAAAAGATAATATAAATGCGTGTTAATTTTTTGTTTTTATGCAAGAATAATTATTCAGCTTTAGTTCACAAAACCAGTTTAGAGTACATTAGACTTGTCAAGAGTACTCTCTCTTCCCCCCTCTCCGCTCACAAAGAGAGAAGTACTATTTTCCTTTAGAAAGTTAGTTTTAAAAAGTGAAATAAACAATACTGTATAATAACGTGGAATGTCTAAAATTTATTATTTATTATTAAGTTCAATATCATTTCCAGATAGCATCATTCTAATTTCAGTTGAATGTGGGTAAATGAGTTGTCCACTTATGAATGCTTGTGTCTCTAATAAGCTATACTTGTGTCTTACATGTAAGAAAGTTAGGTAAATTAGTTTTTTTTTAATTTCTTATAGATATTCTCCTGTTGGAGGGAACCATATTTTGAGGTATAGTTAGGCACTAAATGTAAAAATCTCACAAGTGGGGATTCAAACTTTAGTTCACTGCACTGTAAGGTGCTAGCCACTTCCACTAGACCTAGCCCTCATTAGTAGGTAAACCAATTATTTATAAAAACTATATGCCTTTGAAGGAATTACATAGGAAGTGGCAGTTAAATGTTCCACGCATTTGAAAAAATAAAGCAAAACTTACTGCGCAAATTTCAAGGCTTCATTCTCTCTTTTTATCACTACCCACTTGAAATACGGAAAAAAATATAATAATTCAACACCACCAAAATAATATTAGAGATACATTTTTTATGCTTCAAAGCTCATGTGCGATATGTTTTCTTGATTGTTATGTTGCAGGAAATATTCCAAGAAGTGTTGAAAACATGACAATGCTAGAAACGTTGGATCTTTCTCAAAATAACTTGGAAGGTATGCTTTCAACAAATAATAAGTGCTGTTGCCTAAAAGAACAAATAATAAGTGCTCCTCATTTTTCCTTTGATAAGATATTTTATGCATAAACAATCATATAATTGTGTTAGTATATTTTGTTTTGTTGCTATATTGCAAGATGAATTCCTCAATAAAAATAGGAAATGTCACAAAGCGCTGTTTGTTTTTAAATTTTTAAACTTATATCAAGCAGTTTGAAAAAATTAGTATAACTAGATACTAGATTACAAATCCATAAAATATTGTACTTTCAGTATTTAAATCCTATAAAAAAGATGTGACTTAACCAAGATTTATATGTTTTTAAATTTTTACATGTTTTAAATGGATTTTTATATAATCTGAAAATGTATAGAAGATATTTATCCACAGGCCTTTATACACTTTTTTATTTTTAATATTTTTATACATTTTTCAGCTTCCTAGACATTTTTTTTTAATCCTTCAATAGTTTCTTGTATCTTTTATTAATATTCGACGCAAAATAAGCGCAACTTTTTCTTTTTTTGAAGAATAGTTATCTATCTCCGTTCCCTCTCTCTGTTGTTGTTGTTGTTGTTGTTTTTTTTTTTTTTTTTGGGGCCAGCATCTATCTCCATTCTCCAGGAGACATTTTTTGTTGGTTTTTATGTATTGTCAATATAAATACGACGTATCTTTCCAATGTGATATACATAATGTGAAGTAAAATAAAATAATTGTGAAGAGCTGTGTGGACCATCACCATTCAGTCTTAAATATTTTTTGATCTAAGTGAAGCTCAAAAAAATATATAGTGAAAGATTAAAGACAATATATATAACTAAAAGCCATTCTTTTAAGTACTATAGTGAATAAGTATAATATTAAAAAATTAGTTTAGTATTCAACTTGTATGTTATAGAGAAAAAAATATTATTTTTTATGATCTATTCACTTTTATCATTTTTTTTTCTAACTGCAAGTAGTTTATGATATTATATTCAGAGTCTGTTACGTTGAATGCATATAGAACCAAAAAAAAAAACAAAGAAAGAAAGAAAAGAAAGAAAAAAAAAGAAACAAATTGAGTGTAATTGGCACAGTAGGAGGGGATCCACTTTCACGTGTCATGGGTTATATTTTTGTTTCAAAAATTTGGATAGTGCTCAACAAATTATGTGACTATTCTTTTTTTTTTTTTTGCTTTTTAAAATTTTTGTGAATAATTACAAACATGCATCATATTTTTGTAAGCAAATTCCATGAAATATTTTATGAGAAGTGTAGGATTTTTTAAATTAAATAAAAAATTATAAACTTAAAAGATGATGCCTTTCTTAGCATTGGCCTTATAATATATATGACGGATAATTTATTAAAGAAAAACGTAATATATAGCGGATATGCATGCCAAAGACAAGACTATCCTCCTACTTGTATATTCAAATTTTATGTACTTTAATTTATTAAAAACTACATTTTAATTAACTATACATTCAAAACCGAATGTCTTTAAGTGTTAATCCTTCTTTCATATGACAAGAGGCATTGGAAAATTAATTCTGCTTATATATCTTGTGCAAATAAATTCCAATTTCATCAGATTATGATGTGCTAAGTATTTTGTGTGCGCATGCATTGCTTTTCATATCCTTTTCTAAGCAAAGAGCAACATTGCATTTAAACTATATGTTCACACGTAGGCTACATGGAATCTAAGATAAGTCATACTATCCAAAGCTAAACAATGTCCCTGTGTATAAATCAAAACTAACAAAGGATCCAAATGCAACGTTTTTACACATCAACGCTAATAACAATTTTCTAAAAACAATAACGAGTTGCTTCTGACAACTCACAATGCATCACTGTAATATTTTTCAAATGGCTTTTTCTGCTTCATCCGAAACAAATATGTTCCTTTTCTTATATTTTGTTTTTTTTTAAACTATAGTTTTAGTGCGTTTTGTTATTGAACCATGTACCTTTTTCTGCTGTTCTTGGTCCCTACAGCATTTCCTGTTTATAATTTTGGTCCCCCTATATTTAAATACATAGATAGATGATAATGTATCACTAATGGTATTAAATTATCTAGCATATAACAAGCATTATTTCACTACTCGTCAATAGAGTTTAAGTTTTATTCCATTCATTTTTACAAATTTTGAACTCATTTCTTCACCTTTACTTTGGTGTCGTTCACCACATCAAGATATCCTATTTTATTTTTATTTTTCCTGATTTTTAAGCCATTGATTGTAAAATCTTTATTCATGTTGATCTTGAAGTTCATTTTGTCTTTGTGTAGCCAAGCATTATTTTAGTTTTTTTCCAGTTGATCTTTGTTGCTTTGTATTTTGTGATTGCTTTGTCTCTTTCTTTCTTATTTTAACATTCAACGAAATATTTAATACTATAGGGGCCATCATTAGTGCCACATAGTCATCCATCTAGGCATATTTAAAAATAGAGGGACTAACATTGTAGGTTAAAAAACTATAAAGATCTAGAGCAATAAAAACAAAGTACGTAGACTAATAACAAAACAGGATAAAACTACAGGGACCAATTTATCAGCGTTATGCTTTTCCTTGTTTCTTTCATATGGTATTATTGAATCATAACGCCGATAAATATTCTTGAAGAAATTAGTCATTGTTGAGATTTGAAAATTAATAGTTGTTGACAGTATACTGCCTCATCGTGAATTCAACCAATAATACGCATGCTACTTCATGTTCTTGTGCAACATTCATTTACCACATTTTATTTAATGTTTTTCCAAAAAAAAAAATCAACAGCTCAATAGTGTATATATTTGTTAGTATCGTTTTTTTTTTAAATGGTTTTCTTTGCATCCTCCGAAAGAACTATATTTCTGATTTTTTTTCTTCATCATATAAAAGGAGATATTTATAATGAAATTTTGGAGATGTTCAAAAATTAAAAAAATATGATCTTAGATGGTACTTTGGATATCACATATGAGGTCATGGTATAATATTAGGCAGCTTGACTGGGATAGAGACACAAGCCCAATGAGGATTATTTCTCTAAAAATTATTTCTTTGTTATAGAATCATTCCATTAATTACAAGTGATAAAACTACAATCTTTGGACTTTTAACAAAGTTAACGGTGTAATAGTATTTTATTAAAATATGTGAAAGTGTTGCAAATATCTTTAAGAATCGGTGGGAGAATGATTTTTATTATTACATTAAAGGCTATCACTATAAATTTAGTGGCTTGAGTGAATTTTTTTCACATTATTTTAACTAGTAGTAGTCGGGGGATTCTAAGAAAGATCATTTGTATAATGATGATGTAGCATGCATTACGAATACAGGTTTAGGGAAAAATAAAATTTTCAATTATTTTATGCATCATCATTTTGTTATACATCCACATTTGTAAAGTGAACAATGTTTTATTTTTCAATAGAACTAGACAATTTGTGCTGTAACTCATGCATGTGTCCCTTATGACTATAAATGTCCATCTTCTTTCAGGCCATATACCAAAAGGCATTGGCAACTTGTCTAAGCTTCACTTTTTATATCTCCAACAATAACTTGGAAGGTATGGTATATTCAACAAATCATAGCATTGTTATGTTTGTTTTGTTTGCATCTAAGTTTCAAGAAATGTTCCTAATAAAATATGCAATCTTACAAACCTATACTTTGTAGATAAGTTTCAACAGTTTACTGAATTATATATAATTGCTATAAACAAATTTTCAATTTCACATATTTTTTGTGTAGCAACAAAACCAAAATTAATTACGTTTTTTTAGCTCGTTTTTGTTTGTTCCTTATTCCAAAGATAGTTCACAGCAGATTGTGATGTGTGAAATGGACAACTGAAGCTTGTATACATAAGAAGCTTTCTAAATTAAATTTGACGATTAAAACGTGAACCATGTTCTCACCCTTTCTATACATATTCTATCTCACACAATCTTAGTATATTATCATAGTATAAATGCAGTTTAATGAATATAACTAAACAGATGGCAAAAAATAAATAGATAATGGATATTTTTCATACAATATACATGATAGATACTAAGTTGCACATTTATAGAATATTGTTCTTTCAACATATAAATCCTACTAAAAAATGTAAGTGTGACACAGGTTCTTCACAATCATTTCTATGAATTACATGGGAAGTAGTAGTTTCCTTTGCATTTGAAAAAAAAAAAAAACAAGTGAAATTTATTACCCAAATTTTAAGGCTTCATTCTCTCTTTTTGTCACTTCCCACTTGAAATAAAAACCAAAAAAAAAAAATTCAACACCACCAAAATAACATTAGAGAATCCTGATACATTGTTTTTATGCTTCGAATCTCATTTGCAATATATTTTTTTTAACTGTTATGTTGCGGGAAATATTCCAAGGAGCTTCGAAAACTTGACAATGCTAGAAGAGTTGGATCTTTTCCAAAATAACATGGAAGGTATGCTTTCAACAAATATTGAGTACTCTTGGCCAAAAGAACAAATAATAAGTGCTCTTCATTTTTCGTTTGATAAAATATTTTATGCATTAGAAAGCCTATATTTTTGGCTATATCAAAAGGCTTAGAAAATATCATAGTTTAAATGCAGTTTAACACCATAGTTCATTTTAACCCCCGACTGCACCATTTTTCTCTTTTCATACCCAATATTAAAAATATTATAGTGCAAATGCAGTTTGAAAAAATTAATATAACTAGATACTAGATTACAAACCTATAAAATATCCTACTTTCGTTATTTAAATCCTATAAAATAGGTGTGACTCATCCAAGTTTTATAGAATTTTTATATATTTTTTAAACTCTTATATATTTTACTTGGAGTTTTATATAATTCAAATATATTATTCTGCAAGCCTTTATACACTCTTTTATTGTTCAATATTATTCTATCTATTTCACTGGCATTCCTAGACATTTTTTAAGTCCTTCAATATTTTCTCGAATCTTTTAGTAATCTTCGACACAAAACAACCACAACT